AACGCATTAATTAGGACGTCTGCGTCAAAGCGGCAGATTCGCTTTTTTACGGGTTGGCGGGTTGTCAAAGGGAGAAGAGGGTGAAGGTCGAGGTCACCGCCTGTAGGTATGCAATGTTTACAATATTATTATTAATTATTATCAACAACAATACCAGCGACCATGTAGATTTTTCATTGTGCACAAAATGCATTTGGCTAATTAACGACGGTCACCGGCTTTTGGCAGGGTTATTATTTGGAGCTACATCGTATACAGAGTGTCCAGACACAGAATTATAATAAATAATGACTAATAGGCGAATAACGAATATACGTAGGCATCGGGAAACACCTATACAAACAAAATAAGAATTTCACATTTCTATGTATCGAATTTATATACTGGAGGTATATGAAAAATTATAGGGGTGTTTAGACCAAAAATAAAAAAAAAAAAAACATAAAGTGGAAATATTTTTTTAATTTTTTTTTTTTAGTGTATAGGTTACTCGCGTAAGTTGTTTAAAACACCCTGCATAGCGTATGGTACAATATTTTTGTATTTTAGACCGAACTATGTATCCCTTGCGAAGTGGCATTTTCTGAAATATGTATTTGTTTAAATGTTGAGTTATTTGAAAAAAATGCGGTTTTTGTATCTTTGGTCATCAGTTATCTGAAATTTTGTCTACAACTTCTGAGTGTAAGAGTTGTTTTTATCTAAAATATAGAAAATGTTGTGAATCCATTTGTACAAATTTTATTTTACAGTGAATTTTTTTTGAATCCCTTCAAACATTTTCGAGCAGCATCGTTAACGAGAAATTTCTAAAATATGTAAATTATATAGATTACAAACATAACTACTAATGAAAATAAAATATTAGAACACAACTTTATGCATATTGTGTTATTAGACATCCAAAAAAACTTATTGTTAGTTTATTGTGGTCGATTTTTCTCTAGACAGTCATGCGACAGAGATGCATTTTTTTAAATATAAAACCATTTCCCTACGTTCGACTTTTTACACGTTAAAAAAAAATAATAATAATAACAACTATCGAAAATGCTTTTAAGAAATATTTTCTCGGTACCGTTGGCTGATGAAATGACTTAAACACACGTTTACTTTAACATTTATTAAGTAGGTAATCACCATACAATATGTCTAAATGATGGTAATCGAAAAAAAAATATCGTTACGTTTGTGTATAGGCAAATCATATTACTTTTTTACCGTTATTACCCATTTACGGGTGTAAGTATATTATTATGGTATGGCCCAAATAATATATTTCTGTACGATTTACTACGTAACTGCTCTCTTAACGTTAAAATAATAATGCCATCGTACGAAGTATAAACACGTTTCTATGCATTTTCCCGACATCGTCGGTTCGATTACAAAAATGCTCGTGGAAATATGGCCGAATTCAATTTCGTACTGTAAGTCGATAGACCACGCAGCCCCTACCGTTGAATACAGGTTCTCCGGAAAACAAAACGGATGCGCCTGAGAGTTTCTTTAATAAAAATAACAGTATAGGTAGACAGTGTAACTAATATTCCACGTGAGATTCGTGTTAATGGAAAACGCTAGCAAAATAATTGGTCGTTGTACCTATGAAGCAAAAATAAAACAATTCTATTATCGATTTTTGGAAAACATATTATTGTTATGGTAGTATTTGGTGTACGGGGGAAAAAATAACAAACCGTTTCAATCACTGACCTAGAACTCTAAAAACGATATTTTCACATCTGTTTATAAAGAAAATTTTCGCCCGGATTCGAAATGCTCTTAGAACCAGGGTTCGTACTATCACCAATTAAAATCATATTGTTAGTTTCACTAGTTTCACGCAAATATACAGCGAGGCTATCCAGTACTACACGAAAATTGATTCTTACAGCCTACTTCTATTCACTTTCATCCAAATTGCATACTTCTCATGCATAAATAATAGCATTATAAACGGGTAATGGATACTAAACGGATTTTGCGCCCCTCTGAGGAGCACTCTAGTCTAAGCTAGTCTTGTTAAGCTTTAGGTAGAGTTCTAGTTGCACTTTATTACTCGCGGAAAAAATTATACAGGCATGGGTAAAATAAAACGACTTGTTAGTATTAACGGTTTGATCGTATTTATACCAAAATGAAATACAAACAACTGTTGTTCGTTACGCTTTTATACGATAGACGCGCATAAAATAAGTCGGTGGTGATTATAAAATACTTACAGCGACACGAGAACTCGAGCAACGATTCGTGTCTAATTATTAGGTATTATAATGGTAAGCACTTACATTGAAATCGAATACGCGAATGCTACGACCAGACGCATTTCCGTTTTCCTGAAGGAAATCACTTTTAATTATTGAAATAATAGTTAAAAACATTTTCGATTTCTTCAACCGACAAACATATTCCATCCAAACAATTTTACATCTTCACATTCAATTTCAGGGACAATTCCAAGTGTTATTTTTTTGTTTGGTTAGTTGCTTACTGTTATAATGAAAATATGCTCGAAAATAAATATAGAAGTTGCAATAAATAATTTATCGAATTCATCAAAATAAAAACACTCAAATTTTTTGTTTTTGTTTTTGTAAATATTAGTGTCGGAAAACCTATTAACTCGAGGTTCAGGTTCAAGACACTTAAACATATTGCATTAAAAAATGCACAAAATAGATGAGAATTAAGTTTTAAGAGGCATTTGATAAATTTTGTATTATTCAATGAATCGACCGACCTGGAAATTTTAAGTTTGATCCATCGAAACCGTTAGCAAGATTTTTTCATTATTTGGACTTAAACGATTTTATTAAAGAATAACTACCTGTTTTTTCTGTTTTTTATACATAATTATACCGTATTATCATCATTTGTATCCGTTTATACAACTCGGTGTACGATTTATTAATTATTGTCTGTTTTGTGTTTTCTAGTTGAAAGTAGACATGTTCAGTGGACACAGTAGGTACACATTATATAACGCATAAAACAACGTGCCGCTGTTCACGATATACGAAGATAACAACTTGGTTAAAGTATTCTATGAAGGAGATAAGTCATACAATAATAATAGGGACCAGGGTTGACATATACATAACATTGTCGAACTGGAATTTTTTTCTTAAGTATATTTCCTAAGTACAAGAGGAAATTAATTTAAAAAAAAAGTTTATAGTTCTTAGTAATTATTTGGAAAACCATAAAGAAAATAAAATAACCACTTTTTTATTTTAAAATAAAACATTTTTTTTCAGATATTCTTTCTTCTTGAAATTTTGAAAAAGATTTCCGAGAGAAAAATACCATCTTATACATTTGAAAAATTAAAAAGAAAAATCGTATTTTCTTTCTTTTTAATTTTTCACAATTATTATGAAAACTACTTTAAATATTAAAACTCAACTTTCATTGTCAATGAAATTATATTAAAAAAAAAAAGGTCATTTGACATTTTTTGATTGAAACAAAATTTCTAGTAGAAAACATAGTTTGCAAAAAATAAAAACAATGACATCGGTAACGCTGAATGCTCCGTAAATATTTTCCATTTTATCGATAATTGTCCTTCTGGTTTTTCACCATTGTTTTAAAAACCCATAGGAAAAACAAAAAAAATGACCTTTTTAATTCAATAATTAAATAGAATTTCTTTTCACGTAAAGTGATTATACATGATATGTAGAGTAACATTTTTTTTTTTCGAAAAGTTGTTTACAGACAGAAAAAAGAAAAACACATGTCATAGTGAAACCAATACATCTCTCGCTACGCTCTAAATCTAAAATCATACTATAAATAGCAAACAAATTTTATTGAATTTTAATTTTACCGTGTCAAAAATATTTCACTATTGTTATAATTAATTACTTTAGTAGATCATTTATTGCATCTTTGAGTAATGACATATTTTAGGATCAAAACTATTACTTAAACTAACATAAAATGTACAAGTATACTTTATTATTTTATCTGTTGTTTTTTTTTTTTTGTGGGTAAAGCAGCGGCTTTTAGCAGAACGTCGAGAGTGTGTGTGAAAATTTATACAGTGGAGATTGGTTAAACTTTATTGGTTGGTTTCTGAATTTTAATGCGATGTAGTTATCTATGTCATATTCCTATAATGTTCATAAGATCAACTTTGTGTTGGTGCTTTTAGTTTGAATGTGGGTTCAATGGGTTTCTCATTGATAATCGAATGCGTGGTAGATAGATATTATAAGTGGACTATCACGGTTGGCGGTAAAGAGCTTCCAGTATTGACTAGTGAAAATAACGAGTGTTTGATTGTGATAGCTTTGATAGAAATTACATCGATGTGATTTGAGATGTTTAGTTTATTGTTTTATTTGGATATCTCGGTATTTAATAGATTTAAACCATTTGGTTGGACAATTTTTAATTTAGGGTTTTGTATTAAAAGCGATTATTATTTATCATTATAAAAAATAATAATCATTATTATTTTCTTTATTAGGTAATTATGACTGATGTAATGATAACGTTGATAATTTCCATTCGTGAAACCAGTGTTCAATGGCATCTATCGCTGAGCTACTTTTACGGCCTGGTTATTAGTTCTGCCTGTTGACTGGCGTAAAAAACAGTGTTATCAGTAAATAGGGCCACCTGGATGTCGTGGACTTTTCTTTAAGTCTAATCTTTGTTGCATCATAATTATACGCTTTTTCAAAAGTAAATAAACATAAATAATAATATATTAAATACGATTAAGCGAATACGGAACAATGATAGTAAACTAAACCCGAAATCAACTCTGCGATACGTGATAAATTTTCATATTATATTAAAACTTGTGCGAAAATTTTACTTGTACACAACTGCGTTCAAAATAAGATAATTCGGGATTATAATAGCTTTTTAAAATCATAACTGCAAACAACAGATTAACTGTCGTCGTGTACTGAAACTCGAGTCAAACAACACAATCGGAATAACAATATAATAATGAAGACAACAAGTCTCTGCTGCTCTTTGTACATTACATTATATTATAATATTCTAGATGCGATCGTGGAAGACTTATAGAACGAGTTACGAGTAGGTATACGCGACAATCGATTCAATGAAAAAACCGATATAATAATAAGTCCGGGATAAAAGACAGGGGAAAAAAAACCCCCCCCGTAAACTATGTAGATATATTATTTTAATTAACATCAGAACACTGCTTTGTAAATGTCCGCCGTCCTTTGGACAACAATATTTTACAGTTGAATTCAGCGTCAAGCGGTTCACTGTTTTTCTTTTTAGAATATATTATAATTACAAAACTGCATGTTTATATACCGTTATCATTATCCAACTGTACGAGTACAACGAGTGTCAACTACCTGAATTTTGAAAATCACTGTTCCCATCGAGAAGAAGTCGATAAGAAACGGCCCATAATAAACCGAATACGTCCGTATGAGTACGACTCGCGAAAAAAAAATCATTTATAATTTAGTCGTTCGTAATGTATAGTTTCGTTATATACCTAACTAGTGATACACACATACACATAGATGATTAAAAAAAAAAAAAAAAAGACGTTAACTATTAGGTACCACCACGATCAACATTATACTCTTTAACTGCGTCGTAATATTTGACTTTGTAAATAGTATTCGGTTTTATGGCATGGTGAAAATTGTCCAAAAAAAAAAAAAAAATATTACGTATTATAATATTTTAAACATTGTTTTCATCGTGCGATGAACTCGGTTATAATAATATTACAAAGTTTCATGCATTTTTAACTAACCCAATAACCTGCGTGTATTTTCTTCTTAAAGGAATATTAATACGATTTTCTCAACTTTTCTACTATACAAACCAAATAACTTAAACGCAAACACCGAGAATTCTATTACACGACGTTAGATGCTAAATATGTAAAATATCAGTTATTATTCATTCTAGTTAATTTTTGCAAACGCGAATCATATAGATTTTGGACGTGTTTAAACACAAGTCGAAATTTGATTTACAGTCAGATTAGGTGAGGTTATGCTATATAGTATCTCATTTATTATGTATCGTAAAGTTACAGGTGCTTTATTTTTCATCGACTCGAGAAAAAAAATTGTAAACCAGGTGTAGCAGATTCCACGCCTACGCTAAAGCCTCAAAAACCGATCGAATTTATGGACCGGAATAAATTGATATTAGGTAAACCGGAATATTTTAATCTCGAAACCCGCGGCGTAGGTAAACCACATCTCGTTACAATATAACGTGTCTTAACTAAAAAACGAACGATGGGTATTAATAAATATTGTTAATTTGTGTTCGACTTTACTGCTGTGTAATACGCGAAGTAAAATATATACAATGTAATAAAATATGATTTATGAATATTTCCGAAATAATAACGTGCTTAACAATATTATACGCATCCGTGCCATAAATATTAGACCATTAGAGCGGGATTAATGAACAGTGGCATGATCAGCTTATTGTAGAGACTTAGATACAATTTTCAAATAGACGTCCTAGGATAATGGTGACGGGTGTAGCTACTGTTATAGGTAATTTAATGTATACCTGTAAGCAACGATAAACCATTGCTTACAAAAAACGATTCTGAGCGGAGTTCAGTTGATAGTGATGCTTTGTAAACAATATATATGCCATATTATAGTAAAATTATTAAATAGGCTCTTTATATTTTTTTTAATAATATTTGTTTAATGTTGTACCGGTTTTCCGGTTTTTCACATTTGCTAGGAAAATCGAAAAATTACCTCTCTGAAGTATCTCCCCAGTAATATTTACTTTTAGGTAAAAAGTGCTAACATTATATGTTGGAGCAAAATTGTTGATAGAAAAGTTGTCCACAGAAAAAAAAATCGTAATATTATACAAATATATTTTGTACATTTTTCCGTTTTCTCTTGGTTTTTTTTTTAGTTTTTCATATTTGATGATAACTCTTGGGATAACCCCCCCCCCCAAAAAAAGATCTCCTTAAATGACCTCCCTATACTGATTTTCTTTTTGAAAAGGTGCTACACATAATATATTACAATTGTACTACGTTTAAAATATAAAATATGTATGAATACAGTGGCTTTTGAAAACGTGTTTAGTCAACTTTGCTTAGGATCGTTTTTTTTTTTTTTTTAGAAATAATGATTTATATTTTGCATGCAGTTATACATTATTATCTATAGTCTATTTTTTTAAACCCTTCACTTGAAATATTGACACACCCGTTAAGACTTTATCATATCAGTTCTTGTTTTTTTCAATCACCATAATATACAGTACAACTTACGACGTACCCCGTGTTAAGTTTTCGAGTATTATTGATGGGCCAAAGTAATTTCATCCATATAAAACCAAACAGAATCTTAAAAAATACAAACATTTAAAATTTGTAGAAATAGATGAAAAATCACTAAATTATTCTGAAAATTCGACCACGTTCAAAAAGGGCTGGTATTATAAGTTTTTATTGAAAATTTTAGTTATCTAAGATTAGTTATAACCGATTACAAAAAAATAAAAATAACGAAACCGTTATTTTCGTAAACTTTGGCATATTTCCTATATTTTTTTTTTCTTAGTTAGAATCAGAAAAATACCAAAAATTTAATAAGCCTTCTCCCAAACCCCCGACGAGATAAAACTGTCTACCAGATATCACCCCGGGAAGTTTATAATCGGAGCAAGATTTCTGGTAAAATTGTTCATTTTAAAAGACATAAAACAAATCGCCGCCATTATAGGAAAACAAATACATTTCTCACTATTACCCTCAGTATCTAAAAAGTGCCACACCCATGCCGAAATTGCCGTTCTAAGTTTCATAGCCCGAATTTAAATTCACCACCGATTACAAAGGATTATATTATTAAAATATTGTTTACTTACGCTACTTATTTTACGACGGCTCGAATGAAGTTTTTAGTAAGTACTGAACATTAAATTTGCATTAGAATCACAACGGAAACAAAAACGAATATAACATTTTCCTTAAAACGGTCAAAAAAAAAAAAAAAAACGGTACGCGCGTCATTATTATAGTATACTCACAATATTTTTAGAGATAGTATAATTTATTCCGTTCTCTACCATCTCCAACGGTAGGAAATATGTTTGAAAATGCGGCAAACCACTCGCTATAGCGCAATATCATATTATATTTCGCCATGTAAACTTCTGAAAAGTTCTAAAACTTGTTTTTTTATTTGTAATTGGGGCGTCGCGGGTATAGAATGAAAGTCTAATGAGTTTTGAATTATACATTTATTATGGATATAGTATTATTGTATGTATAATATACGATACCCCCGAAACCGCGATCTTTTAAATTAATTCCGTTCGCACACGTAAATAAAATTATAATATAATGATAATATCGCGGTATATAATAATTATCTGGCCCCGTTCGCGGTCTCATTTAACGGTCCCCTTTTTATAATATTTTAGTGCATTATGGAGGTTTTTTTTTTGTCTTTGTTTTCGGTTGTATAAATAGCTATTTAAAACTGTCGAGTTTCCCCACGTTTTTTCTACACTTTCGCTCAATTATTAAGATAACTACAAGAAAAATTTAAAAAATTGATATCTTTAATTCATTGATAAGATGAAATTTGCTATTAGAAACCAATGCTAAAGTAGCAAAATTATTGTAGCATAATTTCCAGTAGAAAATGTATTTACATACAGAAAATGAAAAAAAACACATCATAGTTAACACTAATAACACCGTAAACTTTAAACTATCCCGTATTTTCCTGAATTATTGAGAAAACTACAAGAGAAATTAAAAAAAGAAACAAAAAGTTTTTCCCAATAAAACTTCAAACGAGGCAACATTTGAAACTAGAAACCACCCTTAAAGTTGATGATCGGAGCAAGATTTCCAGTAGAAAATATGTTCACAGACAGAAGAAAAACAAACACTTTGATAATTGATTTAAAGGCAATAATATTTAGAGTTTAATAATGTCAAACGCTAATCCAAAAACTCTAATCAGTAATCCTACTATTTCTAAAGCCCCGTTCTATGTAGGTACTATTCACACACTTCATTTTTTTCCTAAGGTACCGTGTATTACCGAAATTATTAAAATTCATTAAAATAGTCGTTTAGCCCACAATAGTCCTTTGTTCGCTAAACTATTTTATCTCTGGTAATCCAAAAGAAAAAAAAAAAAGAAAGAAAAAAGTCAGTGGTACCATGACTTGATAACATAATAAAAATTTAATCATGCAGTACCATTACGGGAAAGTTTCCGCATTCTGTCTTATCTGTCTTATTCTGTCTTGTCTGCCTATTAATATATTTTATCAGTTATTCTAACCGTTTTGTGTGTAACCGATCGTGCGAGAAACAAATGAAAATGAATCGATTTCAAACTTGAGGTACCAGTACATTATAGGTATTCATACACTTTAGTTATGATAATATTTAGGTTAGGTACTCGCGAAAGTATTACACAATTTCGAGACGAACTAGCTTTATAGTAATCGGTCTAATTTAAATATTGTATTAATTTTTAGTTTAAACGACGATAGTATTTTAAGCCGTTAAAACGGTCTTATATACTCTTATATTATAATGGATTTGACGGGAAACTTTCGAAACTTTTAAATTTTTTTCATAAATTATCAATTAACTAGACGTTTTTTTCTGCACTGTAAAGAAAAGGAGATCATTTATTTTCCCTTAAAAGTGTTGTAGTCACGGGTTTATAAATTAAACTCGCATAGCTGCAATAATAATATACCTTTACTCTTTAGTAAACTCTTTAAGTATATATATTTGTATAAATAAAAAGTTTTAAAAATATCGGGTTAATTTAAAATTAATTACGATTTTTTCTTGTAATCAGTTTTTGACCGAAAGTTTAAGCGTTATACACGGGCGTTGTGTGCGCACACACACACACACACATTTATTTTATAACCATGCCTATTTTATAATACACAAATCAACATGAAATTAATCGGGCCGGAAATATTATTGATTATACGAGAAATTTAGTTACAATTATTCTCCATTGCGGTTTAATCTGCGATGAATTTGATATCGTTGTATAGATTCGGATCGCAACGAAAAATATAGTGGTTTTACTATGATGTACGTAATTTTCTTTCTTTTTTTTTTTTTTCGTTTTTCTGTTTGCAACTTTCCTACCGGGCGTATAAACTATGCGTGCAAGTTTAAAAAATGTGTAACTTATGTAAGAATGGATAAAAATAAGGTGAGATAAAGTAAAAAATGAAAAAATTCTCTAAAAAGATAAACAAACGGCTTACAAATTTAGAACGTTAAAC